ATATATATGTTATTTATATTATATTATTCCTCATTTCCTTATTTGAGAATTTCAATGTTTAGGATATCTTCAATCTGATAAATAATTTGATTACATACAATAACGGAAACTGAGAACAAGGGTGAGTGAAACTAATTTTTCTCACTTTCTCCAAATATAGGTTTGTTTTTTATTATGCTGAAGAAACTTGTCTATGAAGGACCATGATGTTTTCTTTTCATCAAAACAAAAAACTATTTGCATGGCTTTGATCAAATGGCATGTCACAATTACTAGGTGTGATACCAAGAATATTAGATAACTGAATAAAATTTGATCCCATATCACAAGTGCATACACATAAAAACCAGCTGCAAACAATTTTGATATACACTCATCAATCACACAATGTAGTTACTTTGCCACAATTTAACGGACACTCTATCTCTAATCGTTTACGAGAACCCCATGTACAGAAACGAATTTGAATAGCCCTGTGTATTAGTACATCAAGATTGTCCATTTTACCCTATTTATTCATTATACTTTCTTATAAGTTTTATTGCATTGTATTTTCTCGAAACAAGTGTGAAAAACACTCATCGAGTGCTCATTTATTCACCTTCATCTTATCATTACATTGTTCTGTATTCTTCTTTCCTACGTGAATAAATATTATCATTATTATTACCTATTTTCAATTACTGTGATGAATGTGAACGAAAATATTGTTGAAATAATAATCAATAATTCTCATAAATATTAAATTCAATGTAGTTTTTTATTGATTAACATTTGTGTATAGCTTACATTTTAGTTAACTTTTCCAAATTCGAATGTAAATACTGTACTTCTATATTTTCCAATATGAAATTTTATATTTCATGACTAAAATTTGACGAATAAACCGAAACCTTTCAGCATTCGAAATGCATTCCCGCATTATACAATCATTTTATTGAATATTTCAACAGCATATTTTATATTTCTCAAGAATTGTTAAAAAAAATGTTAATAAATAATTTCTAGAGTGATATTTCAAATCGCGCTTTTTCAGTTTTTTTGTTGCCATTTGACATTTGGCCTTTGCGCATAGTGATGCTAATTTTTAACTTCATATGAAGGTAGATGTCTGATATTGAAAAGATCTTTGATAATTTCGAAAGTTTATTTCCAGCACATGGATATGTTCGATTGAAGATATCGTCTTTTTTGAGTTCAAAATCGAAATAAAACCCAATTTAAAAACGGATATAATTAAAAATCTGTAACATAAAGAAATATATTTCCACTAAAGTACTAGTAAAAAATCAAAAACCAAAATGCCGGTTTTTTCAATTTTCTGGTGAAATTGTAAGTTATGTAAAAAAATGGTTCGTATAAAAGTTGTGGATATTTTCATTACCTACCACTTTTACCTTTACATTTTTTAGATATTAGGTCTAGTTGAAGTGAAAACCAGTAATTTACGTAACAAGTCCGGAAAAGACTGTTTTTGGACGAGTAGACAAATATCTCCGAGTCCAAAAACACTGTTTTCGCACGTGTTGCTAACACTATTTTTTTGTCATTCGTGTCGAATAACAAATCAACGAGACATATTTCTTTATTATATTTCTTTGTAGAACAAATTTTTGAACATTTTATTCTTTGAATATCACTGGAGTTTTATCCCAACACCAAACCGTTATTTTAACACCTCGACACGTGTTTCGATCACCGAGTGATCATCTTCAAGAGGACGAATAAACTAAATATACATACAATGTTATCCTCATTTATATTATAGATACTTCCGCTAGGTACCTGCGCCTTAACTATTGTCTTAAATCAATTTAATATGTTACCTTATCTAGTAATCTTAAATTAATTTTCCAATCGTTACCATCGTTATTCATGATATTATNCAGATACAAGGTGGGTTAGTCGAAAACATCTTAAACTGCCAGTTTTAGTTTGGTTTTTGTTATTATATCATATTAGCTGTCCTCTCTGTATTTCAGTTCTCTAATGAGGGTCAAACTTGCAGTGACCTATCAACAAATTATGAACGGACTATAGATGCCTGTTGTTGTTAACTTGTCTAACTAATCTTGATGAAATAAAGTCTATGGAATCGTTTTGTTGCAAAATATGATGAGCAACTGCCGAATTTTCTGGTCTTACATATTTTAAGTGTGCTAAGTGTTCCTTATATCTCATTTCAATATATCTTTCAGTTTGTCCATAAAATTTTGCATGGCAGTCCTTATTTTTGATTTCGTAAATTCCAGACTTTTCCGAATTCTCGACTTTGTCCTTTGGATTTCCCAAAAGGCTCTGTAGTGTATGACTTGTTTCAAATATCACCTTCATACCTAGTTTCTTGAAAATCTTTCCAAAGCTCTTCATGTATTGGTGGTATGGAACTGAGATATATTCATCTTGTTTTCGTAGTTTCTGAAAGTCGATATTTCGTTTATTCTAAACCTAAACTTTCATTTTTTTATTTGTATTATCCATGATAATAATTACACAATGTCCACAAACATTCTAGGCGCGTTTCGCTAACACCGTAGCTTCCGCGAAACCCACCATAGCTTC